TTTACGTTAATACGTTTTTTTATACCATTAGAAAGAGAAAAAATACTCTGTAAGTAGGGAAAGCAAATAAATTTTTTCCCATTAAAGAAAATTTGCTATTTTAACTCAATAATATTTGCTAACTCCCAGTGATCTAAAATTGTCACCGAAATGCTGCTATCTCCGTAATTTTCGTTACGATCACGCTAAAGCAAACACACGGATTCTTTCTGGTATGTTTCTTTAGTACGTCGATCCAGGGTCGCACTAGGCCAAAGGGGCCCGGGTGGCAATGTAAAGAGGGGCCCGTGTGGATTTTTTTGCATATTTTTTCGCCTTATGTTTTGGTCAATTTTTCCAAATTATATACAGGGTGAGTCTTAAATAAGTGCAAATATTTTTAGGGGTAGTATATTTCGATCCAAGAAACACGATTATGAGGTTTTATGCGCGAATTTTTTTTTTTTGGAAATTTGGACTTTTAAAAAAAAAAAAATTGGAATTTTTTTTAATTTTTGCAAAAAATTGGAAATTTTAAAAGTGAAATAAGTCGGTTGTTTTGGATTTATTTGAAAAATCGGTAAAGAGAAAATATTATGTTTCATTTATCGAGATTTACCAGCCCTGAAAACGTTTGCACTTATTTAAGACTCACCCTGTATAGAAATCAGGGAACTACCCTACTGCAAGGTAAACCAATGCAATGCAAATGCCATAAAGTAATGCAAAAGCAAATATTGTTAATAATAAATAATGAACTATAAAGGGAGCCCGCCAAGGCTGGTGCCCCCCTAATAGTTATATATATATAATATGGCCAGTCCGATCCTGCGTCGATCCGTTCTGTAAATACGGGGTATCAGTAAAGGGTAAGGGGAAAAACGAAATTCTCTATATACGAGCAATTCATCGGCGTGCTATAAATAGTTTAAATAACATTACTTAGTTGTACAAGAATTTCCATAATACCTAATCAATTTTATTTTTTTTTTCAACGTTTTTCCACGTAAATGATACATAATTTTTATAAAAATTAAAAAAATAAGGAGAAAAGTAATAACAATTTAATAGAATCACGCACTGTTTTTCAAGCTCGGTCTACTACCGTTGAATAAAAATTAGGCTAAGCATGGAAGGACTGAATCTACAATATCTTCTAAGAATTATAAGTGTAATTTTTAAATTATTTTCATATTCATTAAGTCCAAAATGCTGCGACTTCAGTTCTTTAAAAATGCATTTAAAATTTATTCGTTTTTTGACTTGTATGTTTTGCTTCTAGACCGACGATATTCTAAATATATGGTTATGAATATCTTATTTTTAAATTTAATTCATTATTTCTAAATCTGTTTGGGTAATATTCAATTCCATTTTCAAAATTTCAAACAATAAAGGTTGCTATCTCCAGAAATATATTTTTATTTCTTATTTCTGCAAGACGAATACCTGCTATCTCCATATTGTGTCTGAAAAAAATTATGTAACACGAAATATTGAGTGTTATTGTTCCCCAGCAAATAAAATTCTTATCTCTTTATCATATTAACCCATGAAAATACTTCCTACATGTGTACATATTTTTTTGTACCGTTTTTCTGCTCTCCTGTAAAATTAGGGATAATGGAGTTAGCAGTTTATCACATTTCACCGACGATATTACAAAGTTTACCCATTTAAATTCGTTGCTTTCACTTTAGTATTGAAATAAACACACATATACAAATGCATACATACAAGATGGCTCCGTATTCCGGAAAAGCTCTGTATCAGGATTCCTGTTTGAAAATTTTCAGTCCAAACCTTTTACAAAATATGTGTTTAATGGTAGTTCACATTTCAAAAATATTTTTCTAGATATACAGGGTGAGTCAAATATATCTATATTTGTTTAGTTCATTGAATTTGTTATAAAATTCCGGTTCCAAAAATACTTTAATACCATGGAGTATACTAAGTGGTTTTTGAATTATAACCACGTCCATGAGGACGTCAATCTAGACGTCCAGGAACCTTCGTATGAGAACTTCTAATCGAGACGATCGACTTTAAGTTTATCGTTAAGAAACCGCCGTTTTCAAATTGATAATGAATTGCACTCAAAGAACGCACATATTAACTAACGCACTATAAGAAGAAGATTAAATGAAGCAAATCTTATGTCAAGAAGGCCTGTTTCGGGACCAGAACTTACTAGATGTGTTGACTAGGCTCAAAAGCAAAGGCATGGTCTTAATATAAAAATTACAAAAAAATGTTAGTGTCTTCTTCAAAAGCGAATATTTCCAACAAAAATAAAGCTAAATCAGATGAACCAAAAGACAAACCATCGAGAAAGGATATATCTAGATGATAAAATATTCCACAGGGTGTTTCAAACGTTCACCAAAATATCAACATTTTGTTTTCCCTCGTATAATTAACTGATGGGAAGTTTCATTTTTAATTTAAAAAAAGATACTAAAAAGTCAATTTTTTGGCTACACATTGCTTAAAAAATCATCAAAATCGGCCCATTAAAACAAAATATATTAACCTTTAAAATACATCAAAGTTTTAAGGAATTTTTTTTCTAATGAAACAAACCTTTATTTTTTTACTAGAATCCAAAAATCAATTAATATATAGGGCGTTCTGTTACAAAAAACATAACTTTGATGTGTAACTTTTTTTGGGGTCACCCTGTAGAACTCATACTACATAATTTTAGAAAATGCTTTAAATTACTTTTTAAAAAAAAAATTACTTTAATACAAACTTTTGTTCTTGCAAAAACCGCGTCGTATATGACGCGCCACCCTGTATAATTCGCTTTAAATCAAAATTTCAATTATTAGAATATAAGCAGAATATATATAGTTTATGCATTAGATTTATTTATTTCAATAAATTTACTTAGAAAAAGAATTTAAAAAATCAAAAAATTAAGAAGGAAATAATTAAGAATTTACTAAAATTACTAAAATAAAAAATTAAAAGCAACGAAAAAAAATTGAATGAAGAGAGTGGCTGGAAACTGGATTCAAGTGGCACAAAATAGAAAGAAATGGTTAGAGTTGAGGGATGCTTTTGTTCAGAAGTGGACGGAAAAAGCTAAATGATGATGACGATGATAAAGCATACTGTAACTAAAATAGTGCAATAGTAATATCGCTTTACCACTAAATCATATTTAGCATTTTAATGGCGATGTGATTAAGAAAAAACAGACGTCATTTTGTGTGCGAATTCTTAACTACTGATTCTTTTAAGCAAGTTTATAATATTGCTATTTTTATAAAAAAGGAGTCCCCTAATAAAACATCCAGTCAATTAAAATTAAAACACATAAAAAAGACAGGAAAATCCTTGATCACCTGCACACACTTATACATATTTCTTTCCTGTACTGATAATTTACATATTCAATCTAGAATAATAAGTTATAATTGCAAGTAGTTTACAAAATTTATTATCAAAGTTCGAATACTTAAATTTTAGTCTAATTTTAGAATTATTATAAATGGGTATATTTGAAATGTTAAACTGAAACAAATGTAAGGTAAATAAATGAGATTAAATGAGTTGAATACTAAGAGTAAAAACCAGCATCCGGTAGCACTAAAGTGGTCCATGGACGAAATGATTTGTTGTAGAGTGTTTTCCTTGCAATACAGTTTCCTGTGGACCATTGAATCTGTTGGTAATTTGATCAAACATAGTCTGTGGTTCTTGATTTTGAAGTTTCCTTTATTATGTCGGTATAGTGCGCTTTAATCTAAGTGCATCTATTGTCTATATCGCTGACGGTAATTTAACCAGTTTGTTTATTTATTCTTCAAATTTAAACATATAAAAACTTATTCATTAATTTAATATTTTATGGTTATTAATTATTTATTATTATATTTTTTTATATTTTGTGGTCTTTTTTGTATTAATACTGAATCATTACCTATAAGTCTTCCTCTGGTTTTGATGTTTCCGGTCACAACGTATATTTATTAGACATCCAATTGATTTACGTCTATTTACATGACACTTTGCTTACCTAACTAGATTTTCACTCACCCAAGACCAAAGGAGTGTTGGTTTTGGTCCAACATTATTCCTGATGATCTCTTTATTATATTATATGGAATCGACAAGAGAGCTAGAGCTCTTTCTCAGGTCTTTTCAAACAGAGCTTTTTTCAAACAAAACTTTCTTTTTCTTATAAAGTACAGATTCCTGCGTGGGCGTTCAACTTTTTCTCTCTTATCAGATGGTTCAATTAGTTGCAGCGACTTGGAGTGCTTGGAAGTCCTGTATTCCTGTCCAATGACGAATATTAGCCAACCAGGCTTTCTTCGGCATATTCCCCTTTTTTCTCCTTCTATTTTACTCTGGGGTATTAGACGCTGAAAGAGACCACTCTCGTAGGTTATCTTGGACGTAGTATACGTCCGAAATAGGCTATTTTTCTCTTTTTGATGATTTCAAAGAGCCCACGTTTTTCTAAACCAGCTCTCCTAAAAATTTCGTCATCTTTATTTCTCACACGGTCTATCTAGGACACTATGTTACTTTCAATGTCAATAGTAGCAATAGAGGTCATAATAGACCTAACACCACTGCACATTGTCATCGGTAGATGTGCCAATGCGACAATGATTAGAATGGTCCTGGACGCAAACAGTACAGGGAGAATTGTCGGCTCAGGCACTTTGGAACACCCTCAAAAAGGAAATACCACTCCTCCAACTCCTAGTGGATACCAAAAATGTAAAACTTTGAGAAACAACTCAATGTAGCATCGAGCAATAAAAAGAATTAGAAAAGAGAAACGTTTGCTCAGCAGTTAAAAGGCTATACCATAATTTGGTATACTGTGCTTTCAAAACCAAAGCAGGATCACGGATCGGAGTATTTGGGTCGAGAACTAAATACTCCCATCCAATTGGCACCTACCCCACCCTCCTACAGAAATATCGAAAAAGGGGGAAAATTTTGAGAAGTGTGAGGTGAAAAGCTTCGGTTTTTTGGGGATCTAGATTTTATTTTCTTGTGAAAACATAGAATCAGGTAAGTCTTATTTAGTAATTTTTGAAAAAAATTATTTTATTTAAACTACAATAATTAACTATTTTTTGTTAATTATTTATATCTTCATGAGATCATGAGTATTTATCTTTTAAATAAATATAATATTTATATAAAATAAAAAATAGAATATTTTGTTGAATATTATTTTAAAAAATATTTTTTGAAATAATATGAGCATAGCTATATTTATATTATACAGGGTGAGTCTGAAATAAGTGCAAATATTTTTAGGGATAGTATAGTTCGACCCCAGAAACACGATTATGATTTTTTCACGAGAAAATAAATTTGAAAATTTGCAATCTTTTTAGTTTTTAGATAATAAACACAATTTATTGATAATATGGCAGGTAGTAGATTAAATTTACAAGAAAGAAACCTTAGAAAAGATCCAGTGGTTCTCAATAGGCACTTTGGAACACCCTCAAAAAGGAAATACCACTCATCCAACTCCCAGTGGATACCAAAAATGTAAAACTTTGAGAAACAACTCAATGTAGCATCGAGCAATAAGAAGAATTGGAAAAGAGAAACGTTTGCTCAGCAGTTAAAAGGCTATACCATAATTTGTTATACTGATGCTTCCAAAACTAAAGCAGGATCACGGATCGGAGTATTTGGATCGAGAACTAAATACTCCCATCCAGTTGGCACCTACCCCACCCTCCTACAGAAATATGCGCTATCGAAAGATGCTTACAACTTATCTTAGATAGGAACTATCGGGAACAAGAAATAACAATCTTATCTGATAGTCAAGCAGCGTTAACTACTCTGGGTGCCATCAGCCCACCAAGGTAAAGAGAGGAGCGAACACTCCACCACTGGCTGAGCGTGCATTAGAAGTTTCTAGAGAACCACAATATCTAGATCGGAGATTTTCTGCACATCATTGTTTTACAACAAGATCTATCGATTAAAAATATTTTCAATATGGCGGCAATTTGACAAAAACTTTCTTATTTTAAATGGGCAACCCCCATTTTTTATTACATACTTAAATTCTCTGTAAAATTTTATGAATTTTGATATTAAATACTCTATACCTAACATTAACCGTCTTTGAGAAAAAAAATATTTAAAATTTTTGGACGAAAAAAAAACCTGTCAAAAAAATTTGCCAAATTTAGTGATTATCACAGCCACTGTGACTTAAAGAGAAGACATGTGGCTATTTATTTCAAAAATTAAATTGTTTAAATATCATATAATAATGGCGGTAGCTGTCATGGAATTGAGCGATTAAAAAATTACCATAAATCATTTTTTCAAATGGAAACCCACTTTTTCTATTTCACTAGTGCAAAAGTTTTCCAATTCGTTACTTTTTGAGTATACATATTTCTATACCTAAAATAAATCGTGTTTAAGTTATTTAAGATTTAGTTTGAAAACATATTTTTCTTGATTTTATCTAGCTTCCTTCGACATTAAGTGTCAGACAATTTTTTTCTATCTGTCAGAAAACGAACTATTTGAATTTCCTATATTATAAATACTGCCTTTAAAAAATGTTTTTATAAAAATATATCTCGAATTTTCGCTCTTTAGTGATATGTAATAGTTGATATTATTAATAATATACCGTATGATCGAAAAAAAAAACAGAGTAAAGTTGGCTTGGAAATGATGATCGATAACATACTGCGTTTTGAACAAAGCGTCACAATATGGCATGGCTAGATCTATTGTTTTCCATCACTTGACATTTAAAGTCATAGGCTACTGGTTAAAATCAAGAAAAATGCACGCTTCAAAACTAAATCTTAAATATCTTAAAAACAATTGATTTTAGGTATAGGAACATGTTAGTTAAAAAGTAACGAATTGAAAAGCCTTTTCACTTTTTACTAATAAAATAAAAAAAGTGGGTTTCTATTTGAAAAAAATGATCTACGATAATTTTTTAATCGCTCAATTCCATGACTGCTGCGGTCATTATTATATGACATTCAAACAATTTCATTTTTGAAATAGATGGCCACAGGTCTTCTTTTTTGAGAGGCAGTTTTTTTCGTTCAAAAATTTTAATTTTTTTTTCTCAAAAACGGTTAATGTGAGGTTCAAAATTCATAAAATTTTAAAGAGAATTTAAATATGTAATAAAAAATGGGGGCACTGATTTAAAATAAGAAAATTGCTGTCCACTTCCGGTATTTCCGGAAGTGCCGCCATATTGAAAATATTTTTAATCGATAGATCTCATTGTAAAACTATGATATGCAAAAAATCTCCGATCTAGATATTGTGGTTCTCTCGAAACTTCTAATGCACGATCAGCCTGGGACACCCTGTATAACTCGAACAACATTGGAGACAAAACACACCCCTGTCTTACTCCTTTTCTTTAAATCTTTTGTCCTGTAAACAAAACTTCATACGGCAAATAATGCCGTCTATGGACCGGTCCGAACAGACAGAACTGTATCGATATGCCCCCCATCGCACTTCTGCAACGCGCTCTTAATCATCAGCTGTTCGGAATCCCCAAAGAACCGGTGCTGGCCGCCCGGCCGGGTACCCGTCGATAATCACGTGCGTACCACCCGGGTACCCCCACCACCGTCTTGGCAGTACCCGCTATTACTAATGTGGTGTTTACCTTTTTGAGCCGAGATATTGTCAGATTTTTCAGTTTGTTTTTGGATAATTTCGCGACGAGATTGCCCAGATAGTTGGAGAGACGATTTTTCGAAAAAGGGGGAAAATTTTGCGAAGTGTGAGGTGAAAAAAGCTTCGGTTTTTTGGAGATCTAGATTTTATTTTCTTGTGAAAACATAGAATCAGGTAAGTCTTATTTAGTAATTTTTGAAAAAAAAATAATTTAATTTATTTTAAGTATTTTTTAGTTAATTATTTCTGTCTTTTTGAGATCAGTATTTATCTTTCAATTAAATATAATATTTATTTTATATAAAATAAAAAATAGAACATTTTGTTGAGTACCTATTTTAAAAAAAAAATTTTTAAATAATATGAGCATAGCTATATTTATATTATACAGGGTGAGTCTGAAATAAGTGGAAATATTTTTAGGGGTTAGGTTGTAGCTATTATGTTTTTTTCCCGAGAAAATAAATTTGAAAATTTGCAATCTTTTTAGTTTTTAGATAATAAACACAATTTCTTGATAATATGGCAGGTAGTAGATTAAATTTACAAGAAAGAAACCCTCCAGAAAGAAAAGATCCAGTGGTTCTCAAAATTTAGGAAAAAAATCATTTTTGTTGGAAATTTTCAAAGTGAAATAACTAGGTTATGTTGGAGTTATTTTTTGAAGTTGGTTTAGTAGATTAAATTTACAAGAAAGAAAACCTAGAAAAGATCCAGTTATTCTCAAAACTTAAGAAAAAAAATAATTTTTGCTGGAAATTTTCAAAGTGGAATAACTTAGTTATTTTGGACATATTTTTTTGGTTTCTTTTATCGAGATCTACAAGCCCTGAAAATATTTGAACTTATTTAAGACTCACCCTGTATAAGGTTATGATGAAAGGCTGCTTTGGTGCCTTTTTCGATCAGACGGTACAATATTTTTTTTCGAATAGGTTTATTTAACATTTAGACAGCTGAATATAATTAATTCTTCACAACTACTTCTGAAATAATAAAGAATTTTCATTAATAAGTTTAAAAATAAACTACTTCAAACAATTATCGCATATTTTCCAAAAAAAATATTAATTTGAAAAACAAGACACTTTGAATTCCCTGACTTTTAAATTTTATTTAGTATGGATCGGCCGATTAAAAATTGACTGTCAGCGCATAGCCTAAGGCAACGCAATGTAATGAAATATTGGGCCGATCGGTTTCATAGGAATGTATTGTTTTCATTTTTGCAACTAAATAGTCGGCCGACTAAAAATTATATGTCAGTGCGTACCCTAATTATCCTGAAAAAACTCACAAGAGAAAGGCAGAAAAATGCATGCTTCATTTAGAAATATGTAATAATTACTTTTATTGAAATATGCGATAATTGTTTTGAGTAGTGTACTAACTAAGTGACTGACATACTGATTAATCACGATCCTGCTCAAACCACTCAACGTCTCAATTTTGGCATACAGGTTAATTCTAGGGTGTAAAGGTTCGATAAGAAGGGATTTTTCGAAATTCCAGTTGCAAGAGGGTGAAACCACCCCTCAAATATTACAATATTTTTTATTTAAAAAACGGTCAAGTTTCCGAAAAAACGCTTAAACACGTATATTTTATTTTTTTTTACATATTTTAAGGTTTTTTTAAAAATGTATACAGGGTGTTTCGAACAATCTGGCCATTGATTAATCACGATCCTGCTTAAAGCGCTTGACGTAAAAAGCTGATTTTTAAAAAAACAGATTGACTTTAGGGTATAGAGGTTCGATAAGAAGGGATTTTTCGAAACTCAAATTCTAAGGGGGTGAAACTATCCCTCAAATATTAAAATATTTTTTTATTTAAAAACCGGTGAGTTTTTCGGAAAAACTCTTAAACACGTATATTTTATTTTGTTGTTTTACATATTTTAAGATTTTTTATAAATTTATATAGGGTGTTTCATAAAATATGACCATTGAGTAATCACGATTCTGCTTAAACTGCTTGACGTTTAAAGCTGATTTTTGGCAAACGGATTGACTGTGGGGTGTAGAGGTTCGATAAGGAAGGGATTCTCGAATCTCAAATTCCAATAGGGTGAAAACTCTCAAATATTACAATATTTGTTATTTAAAAAACGGTTAGTCTTTCGGGAAAACGCTTGGACAAGCATAATATATTTGGTTTTTTTACATATTTTGAAATTTTTAAAAAAATTATACAGGGTGTTCCAAAAAGTTGGGTAATTTCTTGCACGATTCTGCTTAAACTGCTTAACGTGAAAAGCTAATTTTTGGCAAACGGTTTTTTCGAAAGTCAAATTCCAACGAGATGAGAATCAATGATAATATCGCCATATTGTTTTTTCTCATGCTGACATAAATGTGAGATAA